TACACTGAGGCTTTTCCCAAATGTCAAGTGAGATATCACATCACCCTCTTCATAAGGAGAAATTCTTACAGGAAACTCCTGTAACCAGACAGAATATTTGCATAGAAATGACATTGTGCTGTATTTGTTACACGTGTCTGAGTGTCTCTGCCAGCATACTTGAGGTTTTCCATCTCAGAGGCTGTGGGAAATGTTCCGTTTAAGCTCTGCGTTCACGCCATTGCGCACTACTGCGGGGGCTCTCGCTTATTATACAAACCTGCGCCCGCAATAAACTGTATTTTTATGTGGCTTTATAGTCTGATATAAATTTTTAACTAGTTGCAGTTTTTTATTTTCTAGAAAAACAAAACGTTTGGAATAATAATTATCGGCTATTACAAAAAAACACTTGTCAATCTTGAAAGTATCCTTCTTCTTGAGTGACAAGTAGACCTATAAATCTTTTAGCCAATCAAGCAAAGAAACATCATGTATTTTCTGAAAGTGCATCCCTAACTTCACCAAATAAGTTATCTTGTTCATGCAACTTGGAATAACTTTTGTGAGGAGAGTGTGAATTTTTCTGGTTCCGACTTACTTAATTTGCGACTTTAGTTGCACCCTGCACAATGACAATATCATCTTATCTTGCTCTTGTTATTCCTGCTTGTTTCAGTTTTGCACTAATATTCTGTATTCTGGTTCCTAGAATCTCTGTCTGCATGTTTGTGTCCTTTTTTTTGCAAACTCCAGCCTGGTTTTTCTCTGTTTCTCAGAGAAAAGCTTCTTCCTTGCTTTATGGGTCTTGCTTCTAGGAGCTTCATACGACCCGCAAATTTAAAATTTCATTTTCAAAAAACGCATGCGATCTCCTCCAGTTGTTCGAAATGGATGCTGAAGTAGTCAGCTGAGGCCATCAACTGTGGACGATATCCTTTTTTTTAACACAGTAATATTATAGCACCACACCAAACACTATAGTCAATGCCTTCGTGTAGAAATTCAAATCAGGCAATTAAAGGAAAATGGACGTTGCATGTAGGTACCCTATAAAACCTAATACTGTGCAGGGTAGCCTAATGTACATTTTATATAATATTAGTTTTATT